AGGAAATTTAATCTTACCTGCCATTTCCTTCTTGCCTTTCTTCCTGCAACTCCATGGTGGGGAGGGTGTTAATAGGGGCTCCAGGAATCTGAGTCTATAGGCTTCTGGAGGCTAGACTATTGATAAGATTGTCTTTTGCTTCCAACTTACTAAGATGTTTGTAAACTGATGGAGACTCATGTCCTGCATGACTGGGATCTCTATCAGTTAACCATGTGTTTTCTTTCCTTTCCTTTGTTCTTGGGCAGCCAGAGGAATGTCACACATATCCCACCTGAGAGTGGGGGCTGGGGGCTTCTAGCTTGTACATAATGCTCCCTATTCACCCAGAGTCAACTTATCTCCAGGTCCACGCCCAAAACCCATGTGAGGGGAGCTGGTTCCCCTCCAGCAGGTGACAGAGCCAATGAGGTTTCTGGGAGTGTCATTTGGAGCCTGTCAGCCCTATGGTCAGCATCACGTCAGACATTCCATCACCTCTGGCCCTCCCATGGACAACCAAGCCCCCATGAGGAAACTGCCCCTCCCCCTCCAGGACAGTGCTAGGATCAGCCATGACAGGAGCTTACTTCTAGGGGTCCAGTCCTAGCTCTGGGCTCCACAGTCAAGACTATGGCCAGAGATGGCAGAAGGTATCAGTGATCTCTCAAGGATGAGGCTGAGTCCTTGCACTCACTGTGACCCAAAGTACCCAGTGTCCAGAGCAGCAGAGCCCTCCTTGGTTCCTGAGCCCCCCACCCCATTTCACACCGTGCAGATGCATGTTCCCATTGTCCACCACCAGGAAGGAACAGAGACTGTAGCCTCAGAGCTCTGCTATGGCAAGCTGTCCAATTTGTGGCTGCATGCCTAGCTTGGGGTTTCAGTTCATTGGGCCCACAAGAGAGGCCAAGTCCCTTAGGGCCAGCTGAGGTCTGGGTTCACCCTGTCAATGGGTTGTGGAGGAGGGAAGGGGCTGATTCATGGTGGGAATGATGGGGCTCTGGAAAGGTGGGGATTCAAAGCTCACAGCCATGAAAGAATTCTTGAGGAATCTTTGGTTCAGAAAAGGTGATTTTATTAAAGCACGGGGACAGGACTCTTGGGCAGAAAGAGCTACACTGGGGTTGTGAAGAGTGACTGGTTATATACCATGGGGTTGGGGGACATAAAGTCAAGAGGAAGTTTCTAAAGGGATTTTCATATGCTCAAGTAGACTCCCACATTACTGGAGGCCTGGATGTTGTCAAGCTAAGGTTGTTTTGCTTTCTAGCAAAGCATTAACATTCAGACATTCCTGGAGAAATGTTGTACTCTGTGTGTGCCTCAAGTGTTTGTCAAAATGGGCTGCAGGTCATAATGAAATTTATTTCCATCTCCCATTTTCTTCTTGCCATTGTTCCCCATATGACTATGGAGGGAGGGCGATATTTGGACTCCAGGAAATGGAGTGTAGTTTTCTGGAGATTAGGCTCTTGGTAAGATTCCCCTTTTCTCCTAATTTACTAGGACATAGGTAAACTGATGGAGGACTGTGTTCTCTATCACTTAACCATTTGATTTCTTTCCTTTCCTTTGTTCTTGGGTGTCCAGGAGTGCCTGAGGAATGTCACACAGATCCCACCTGGGGGGAGGGGAGCATGCTAGCATGTGTTTTCCCCTCAGCTTGCCTTATGTTCCCGCATCAGGAACATTCCCCAATAGGCCTTCGGTGGTAGGGGGAGGGGAAGGGTTTTTCACCCTGTGCCACGGCCTAGGGTGGGTCCCTGGGAGGGCCAGGATCTGGGCTCCATGAGCAGCACAGGGTACACTCTGTCCTTCCCTACCAGGAATGTCCCTTTGGGTTGCCTCCCTTTCCCTGTCCCTTTGGAGAAGCACAAAGCAGCTTGGGCTCTGTTGGTTTGAGGCATTCTCTGCTTTCATCAGGTGCAGGATGGGGGTCCCACCACACTTACCCCACCCTGCACTTGGGCCCCAGAGAGAGGCTCCTGGAGGTCAGAGATGACAGCTGGTCCAGATCAGAGACCCTTGTCCTCACACAGTGCT